GGGGGGGAGAGTACATCGATTCCAAATTGGATCTGTGTCCCTTTGTCCTTGTCAAAGTTGAAACCAGATGCAGTCAGATTCTTGACTGATAGATCATGGCTTTGCATCCTCTCTTCGCTCCCTCTCTGCCTTCCTAATTTCCCTACCTCTTTTTTCTCTCTTCCTGTTCGAACCACCGAGATCGTCAGGAATGTATCAACTACGAAAGCGAAACAGTGAAAAAAGACGTCTTGCTTTCTCACTTTCTCTGTCTATTGCTCCAGCATCAATTGGATTAAATTTAAACTGAAACCAACAACGACGTGTCGCGGACTTCACTTCTCACACCGAAGAACACCTCATCCGGGCAGGGGACAAAACTACCGGCACTTTATCCTTCTGTTGAGCCAGATGTTCCTTCTTCTTTGTTAGATCAATCCGCCATGCTTTCTTTCTTTGTTTCTTTGTTTCTTTGTTTCTTTGTTTCTTTGTTTTTTTTTTTTTTTTTGTTTTTTTTTTTTTTTTTTTTGCTGCCATGCTTTCTCTCTTCATTGATTAATCAACAATAGAATCGATCAACCCGCCACGTGTCCTCACATCATGGAGAAATCAAAATTGAAAATCACAGCTACTACTTGCTCCAGTAGGATGTGCTGCTGACTTTCAGCTCGCCCTTAAAGCCAATCAAGCCAGTCTGCCCAACAGTAGCCGCCCAACAATCGATCCAGCCTCCATACAAATAATGCCATTATTAAATGATTTAAATCATGCCAGAATGGAAGGCAATGCTAATCAGTGTCACAGATGAATTAGTGTTCCTGGTCATGCATTTGGTGCGATCATTTCATACAAATCGAAAATCATTGTACCAACGGTACTATTCATTTTGACAGTCAATTGTAGGTGTGTGCTCACAAATTGTTATGTTTAAACTTTAAACTTCAAACGAATGAAGAAAACATCACTCAGTCTCTCTTTTCTTTTTCGAAAGAAAAAAAGGGCAACAGCCTTGAAAGTACCATCATCCACCTCACTGGCCCCACGTAATTCCGAGTTGTAATTTGACTCATTCATTCTCATCAGGCTTCAAACTTAGGTCTGTTCATCAACAGTTCATCGCCCAGGTTCATCGAGCAATATCTCAATTGTGAAAGAGAGTCAAAATCTCTCTCTCTCTCTCTCTCTCTCTCTCTCTCTCTCTTGGCAATACAACAACCATGATGTTGGGCTGGGTTCACCAATTAATATCTTGATCGTGAAAGACAGCGAGAAGATCTCTCTCGGCTGGGTTCACCGATTAATATCTCGATCGTGAAAGACAGCGAGAAGATCTCTCTCTCTCTCTCTCTCTCTCTCCTGGCAATACAACAACCATGATGTTGGGCTGGGTTCGCCGATTAATATCTCGATCGTGAAAGACAGTGAGAAGATCTCTCTCTCTCTCTCTCTCTCTAGCTCCCTCACTTGCTCCCTCTCCCCCCTCCCTTTCCCTGTGTCTCTCTCAGACACACGACAAATGACTGTATTCAGTGTATTGAGAACTGGGGGCTGTCATAATAATCGTATTTAATTTTGTGACAGTGCAAATGGCAAATCACCATACCTTGCTTTCGCTCTCTGTTGGTTCCACCATGAGCGTTCCCGGTACTGGCCATGACATTGTCGGTGCGTGGAAACCATAATCGATCAATCTCTTCGCAACGTCCTCCGGCTCAATGCCAGCTGTGTTCTGCACAATACGGGCCAATGTAATCATCGGTTGGTGCCCATCACCAGATACCAAACGTAAACAAATTCACATCGTTCGAAAGATGAAGAAATGCAAAGGGAAAACAAAGATAAGAAAGGCAAGGGAATGATGACAACACAGATGCACAAGCATAGCGTGATCGCATTGACAACTTAACATTTTAAGACTTAAACACTTACATCGCTGTCCTAACCATCGGGCCGCGGTTGTTTCTTCGTCATTTTGTCCTTTCACCAGGGGATCTAGACTCCAGTGAGACAAAAAAGGGAGAGCGGAGAGTGGGGAAGGCGAAAGGCTGTTGAAAATTCACATAATGTGAAAGAAGTTCAAAGAACATACGTTTTGAGAATAACAACAAAAAGGAAAAGGAAACAGTTAAAACTGGAAAGTTAAAACTTAATTTCTTAGAGACTGGATTTGATGAATCCAGGAGTTGATTGCCAGCAGTGAGTAAAAGGAGGCATTTGTCACCAGCTCTTCAAGCGTTTTTCAGTTTGGAATATATATGAGAATTATGATATATGATATATCGGATCCTAGGCTACCAGCCGGGCCGCCCGGGTCACCCTATTTTCCCGGACGGCCCGGCCGTGCAAGGTCCAGGGAAGGTCCTAGCCAAAAAAAAAAAAAAATTTAAAAATCACAAAATTGAAAAATCCGAAAACAAACTATGTTATGCATAAAAATAAACCGAACAACTTTTGCCTCAGGGTCACATCGAAATTCTTTACCAAATTTAAAATAAAAAATAAAGTTAACGTCACAAACAGAACTGCCCGGTAAACCGTAGGCAGAGAGAGAGAAGAAGACAACAAACGAGGGGCTGTGACAAACTGTTTCGTCGGAGTTTCACCGAGTCATCAGGAGTATATATATATAGATATATCCATAAAAAAAAATGTAAACGGATTTATCGACGTACAACGCACAGTTTTGGAAAATTGGAAATTAGAACAAAATTACATTACTGGTGAAATCCAAATTATCATTTAATTATGGCACATTTTCGGATTTTCCACCCTGATTTTGGAAGATTTGTGTTTTGTTTTGTTGAAGTAACTTCCATTCCAACTCTAATAAGGCATTTCCAGCATAGTATAATAGCAAAAGTGATTGAACTCTCATGTTGCCACCAGAGGGACCCATCTTGAGCCCACACAATAATTCGAAGAAATCTAATACTTATCATAGACAGGGGTCAGGCTTAAGTTTAATATTCCCTCCCTCCCAACTGCACGTCAGACAACTGTCCACCGTGAATCAGCGTTCGATGATGCCCACCACTTCACTCAATTTAATTTAATAATTTTAATTTAGTTGTTCTCAATAAAGTTGAATAAGCTAGTAGGTTTATGTACGACCATGCCCGTCTCGGCACATGGAAACTGTGGACCAAATTGGGTGGGAGTTACAACTCCAAGAAAGAAACACAAAGAATAGAAAGAAGAAGAAAAGAAAAAGAGGGCCATTGGGGTTATGTGCGATCCTGGACTGGACAGGCCCGCCCCCGATAATTAGTAATACGTTAGTTTGCAAGACTGTCGGCAACTCCATGAGATAATATATATTTTTAAGAAAATAATAAAATTATTAAAATAATAAATACCTTATAGTTCCGGAGATCAATGATGAACTCATGTGCACAGGTTCCGTTCTTGCCTCGGAAAAGAATCGGGTAATGCTTCTGCAAAATTGTAAGGGAGACATGACAACAGCGGTGTGTTAAACACCAAAAGGAAACAAACAAGCATATGATATACAGAATAGCAAAATTGGGCGGTGATGATATTTCAAAAAATAATAACAAGACCATGGTTACCAGCCCATTCGTACGGAGGCCTCCGGGCTGACCTCCGTACGTTCGGCGCTTGGGGTCCCGTTCGGGGTCTGAACCTGAAGGCGTTCGGCCCCCGCCAAAAAAGATTTCGGGGCCTAATTTTTTTTTTTAGTTATCATTATTTGTTTTTTTGCGAGTTCTTTATGATGTGAGGTACATGCCTATAAATTCTGAAGGCATTTTTTCTAAGTCGAACAAAAAAATAAAATGGCCAAAGATGGCGGTGTCAGAAGACTCAAAACGTGCTCGCCCACTCACTATTTTTTTTTTTTTTTTTCTCTTTTCACTTTTTGTTTTCACTTTATTTCGGAGGCCTAAACAATTTTATTATTTTTTGACTTTTTTTTTTTTTGAGTTTTGAATCATTTGAGATCACATCTATAAATTTTCAGCGCATTTGACTAAGCCAAATACAAATGAAAAGTCGCCAAAGATGGCGGTGTTTACAACGTGCCCACGCATGCACTGATTTTAATTCTCTCTTCACTTTTTTTTTTCTATTTTTATTTTTTTCCCATATTTTTTTATTTTTATTTCAAATTTGGTAAACCAATTTGGATGTAACGCTGAGGCAAATATTTTTCAGTTTATTTTTCTGCATAAGATATATATTTTTATTTCGTTTCAAAGTTTTTTTATTTTTTTTTAATAATTATTTTGTTATAGTGCAGGGTCACCAGCCCGTACGTACGGAGGTCCCCGGGCAGACCTCCGTACGTACGGGTGTTCGGGGTCCCGTATGGGGTCCGAACCCGACCGCGTTCAGCCCCCACCAATAATTATTTCGGGGCCTAAACATATGTTTTTTTTCTGCATTGTTTTGTGTGCGTTCTCTATGACGTGAGGTACATGCATATAAATTTTCAAGTTATTTGGATAAGCCAAATAAGAATTAAAAATCGCCAAAGATGGCGGTGTCAAAACGTGATCGCCCACGTCTTTTTTTCACTTTCTACTTTTTGTTTTCACTTTAGTTCGGGGTCTAAACAATTTTATTGTTTTTTAGAAACTTTTTTAGTGGATTTTGTATTATGTGAAGTACACATCTGTAAATTTTCAGGGCATTTAGCTATGCCAAAAAAAATGAAAAAGCGCCAAAAATGGCGGTGTCGAAAACATGTTAGCGCACTTACTAAATTTAATTCTTTTTCTTTTTTTATTTATTTTTATTATTAATATTTGTTCTCGGTATTTTATTTTTATTTCCAATTTGGTAAGGAATTCGGATGTAATGCTCAGGCAAATCTTGTTTAATTTATTTTTTCGCATAACATATATTTTTTTCAGATTTTTTTAATGTTTTTTTTTTTCTTTTCTTTTCTTTTTGGGTCCACGTTCGGCCCGAACGGCCGAACGCATCCCCATACGTTCCGGCGTTCGGGTTCGGGCGTTCGGCCCGTCCCGAACGCCGGTTACCCTGTATGTATATATCATTTAGTTAGAACTTAGAACTGAAAAGTCGTAATAACAAGGAAGTTACAACTCCCAAAAAGGACAAAAGGGTATCACACATCAAACATTCACGAAGTTGTTTTAGGCTTTAGTATTGCAATGAATACCACATTGCAACTGCAGAAACCACGTGAGCGCAGTCCACCACCCTTCTTGCCTATCACTGAAATGGGTAGTTCACTCTTAAGTTTAGGCAGAAAACTTGAGAGTCGAGAGTTAAAACTACAACGTCCATACTGAAGAAAAAAAATTGAAAAAAAAAAAAAAAATTCAAAATTGTCATAGATGGATCATTTATCAAATTATCACTTAGCTTTATAAAAAGAAAAACGACTGCTCAATATCGCATATTGACTTCCTCGTTCCTTTTTTTTTTGGGGGGGGGTCCAAGTAATTGAAGAAAGTATCCTCCATACCTCAAGCCTCGACGCCATATAATTGGCATTCAAGATGGCAACCTTCGAAGCCTCTGTCAATCCTTTGGACCCCATCATCGCAATGTACATGAAGGAGATGGGCAGGATGAGGGCTGATCCCCAAGGGGCTGCCGAAACCACTCCAAACGAGTTTTGAGACGCAGTTGCTGGCAGCCCGCCCGTCGGAATCTGTCAGAAATGACAAGTGCAACAAACACAATATGAGGGAAAACAAAGACAGACGTCACAGAAGCATAACGCACGTGTAAAGTTCATTTGGAATTATCTGCAAATCGGATGTCAATATGATACTATTCCATTGTATGACGATACCTAATATAAGTTTTTACAGCGTACTATATAGAGTATTATACTATATCGAGTAGTAATAATCGTACTCTATATATATTATATACACTTAAAAATAAAAAGTTAAAAACCGGATAATAGTATAATACCCATGTAGAGTCCAATAGAAATACCATAATTATTAATTAGTGATTCTTGAATTAATATTATTTTAATTTATTTATGAATTTACAAATAATTGTTGAATCACCCATATGATAATTGATCGAGTAATATGATTTATTCAATTTTATTGTGTAATCCTTGATGATTCGTATAACACACCACCGACCTTACGATGCGTCCAAAGGGCAAGAAAGACTGACGTGCATGACTTGCAAACTACAGACACCCTGTGAGATCCTGCCAACATAAATCACATGCACAGTTCACGATTGACAAAATAAGAGGGGTCTCTGACGTCCCCGTCGGGTTCCAACTTCCAAGATGATGGCGTAAATAGCCAGGATTCTATGTGGCCTTCCCTGAGATGCTGCTTTTGCATTAACCTTCTTTTTCAGAATGCCATTCATGGGGTGCCCATAGGCATTCCTGAGATGAGCACGGATCGAAGTACCCTGCGCCCTTCTTGCAGGCGTATTCACGTGCTGAGGCGGCCAATCAAAAGCACGACGCTGCTGACAGTGATAACTACTACAGGGTGACAAGCAATCCGCTGAAAATGCACAAATGAATGGATGAGCCAGGACGACTTTTTTATTTATTTATAAATATTCTGGATATATTCTTTATTTGTCTGTGTCCTCCTTGTGCAGCACCCCTCCTAGTCTTCTTCAATCTCAACATCTATCGCTCCCCAGAATGGACAAGGATCCCCGACCATAAGGACCTGTTAAAAAAAACAAAAACAAAGGATGATTTTAATTAATTTTTGAATGCATAAACACATTTATAAATTAGGAATCACATGGGTGAATGAATGGGGTGGATGGAGGGATGAAAGGATGTCCAGCTTCGCCGAACCGAGAAATAGACCAAGTGTACTTTGGATAAAGGGATAAACTTCCGATAAAGAGATCGGTGAATCATGGATAGATTAGAAAATGTATTCCTAAATGGTCAAACAGACAGAAGATGCAGGATGGATTGATTGGTTGGTTGATTGGATTGATTGGATTGATTGGTTGGTTGATTGGTTGATTGATTGATTGATTGATTGATTGATTGGTGGATGGATTGATTGGTGGATGAATGGATGGGTAATCTGACTGAGCAAGATACACTTGCACCTGCTATGTAGGATATATAAGAGTTGGGAACAATGGACGGACGCGTGAATGGATGGGTGAACAAGTGGATGGACGGGGGATGGGTGCGCTCTGTATTTTGTCCTTCTGTCACTTCAGGTTCACTTACCACAGGGTGAGATGGCAGGAATGGCGCCAAATGCTTCTTAACTCCGATGGGGCCCATGCCTGGTCCTCCTCCGCCATGAGGAATGCAGAAGGTCTTATGAAGGTTCAGATGACACACATCAGCTCCAATATACCCAGGGCTGGTTAAGCCAACCTGGAAGCAAATGAAAAAAAAAAAAAGCAGCAGGAGAAAAAAAAGAAAGAAAGAACAGTTAGTAAAGAAAGAGCAGTAAAAAACTATAACACTGCTCCCCATGGTATTTCGTTGAACGTCATTGTTGCTTGACCCTGTGTGTCTGAACTGTCAATGTGCGCACCCTGTCCCAAGCCTCCAAAATTTTAGACCACCAGGATTGAAAGCTCAATGTGCGCACCAGCATGATCCCGGGAAAGCTTGCTTGGCACTGGTGGTTTAAACCACCAGTGGTTTAAAGTTTAATCGACCAGTGGTTTAAAGTTTAAACGACCAGTGGTTTAAACTTTAAACCACCAGTGGTTTAAAGTTTAAACCACCAGTGGTTTAAACCAGCAGTACATCTGGAGAATTCGGATGAGCGTCTCCGACAAGTTAGGGGACTCGGGACAGGGCCTGCCCCATCATTTTTGTTTTTGGTTCAGGACTGGGCCTACCTAGTGCCAAGCCCACGGCGTTGGAGAATTTTCTGTTTTTTTTTTTCTACTGGCCCTTCGAACACCCTGTCCCAAGCCTCCAAAATTTTAGAAGATCCTCGATCGCGATTCTCAACTTGGTTGGGGCCATGTACTGGTGGTTTAAGAAAGTGCCAAAGAGTAAAGGGAATACTGATATATATATTATAAAATTATAAATACATCATCATACAATGACATACATACTACATAGTCATAGAGAAATTATTTGACGTTATTTCTACATCACCGGGAAGTTCTCTATGACCGTATACATATACATATATATATTTGTGTGACAACATGTAAGAAAGAGTGAACCGGAGCTTTCTTGAACAAACGTGATCATAATTAGGGTCAGATACATGGTTGCATACCTGCCTACTGCCGACCCCGACCGCCGACCGTTTTGCAGAGGACCAGTAGGCCGACTGGTCGGCAGCCGGTCGGCGGTCTGCCGACCAGTCGGAAAACAGCCATCCACTATTTTTTTT